TTGGGGGGGGGGGGGGCTACAGGGGGTTCCAAAAAGTATAGTAGGGATAGTGAGGTTCAGTAATTAGTCTTGAAGGAAATCTCCAGTGGTGCTTCCAAATTGACTTGAGGTTGAGATTGGGGCTAAGGGGCCTTAGGTGGGAGTGAGCATGGACTCAGGTGATGCCAAAAGGGCCACCCAAGGAAGTGCTCAAGAGTAGCTCCCACTCCTAAAAGGAAAACCAACTGTTGTGTGCTCCTGGCTCATGTAGAGTGGTGCCCCACTTGAGTACCTTTGTGACTCATTGGTCCTCACTTTTCCTAGGGGCTTGGGCCTTCCCTTCGGGATGGAAATGGGGGAGTAGGGGTACTTATACTGGGCCATTAGGCCACAATGTTTCCCCTTGGTGTCCCGAAGCAAGTGTTGCATCCAAGGCTTGGGATTTAGAGGGTCCCATGATCAAGTTTTATTGTACTAAGGGATGTTAAAAATTTGGAGGCTTAGCGTGCTTGGCTGCTTGTGCTTGTAGGGAGTGTAGCCAAACCTTAAATCTAGTCTAACCTGAGGAGGGGGATTGAGAGAGATTTGGGAATTCGTGGATGGATGGTTAATGCTCCATTGCTCGTATAGTGAGTAACTGAAACCAAGTAGGACCAAGTAAGAGCTGGTACAATATGTAAAAATCTTGGCGAGGGAACTTAATTAGGGCTAAGGTAGTGTTGGTCGAATAGACGAGGTAAACTGGCAAATTGGAAAGGAAAAATTTATGGCTTACAATTTAGTATTGGAGTTTTTTCCTCAGTTCTAGCGAAGGATAAAGGCAGATTGTTGGGAGATGGCAAGGTAGGGTATAAAAGAACTAAAGTGAAGATGGAACTGTTGGGGGAAGGAGGGGCGCTTCCCCCAACGCTCGCTCAAACACAAGAAATGCTTTACTGCTCTCCACAAAATGCCCCCCCTCGCCCTTGTGAGGCAAAGGTTTTATACAAGGAAGATGGGGAATATTCTGAGGACCAGAATATTCCCTCTCTCTCTCTCACTCTCCCAGTGGCCACGCCCTAACATGCGACCACGATGGATCGCACTGGCTCTAGACACGCAAGAACCCTTCGAAGAGTGTAGAGTGTGCCTCTGCTACTGATGCCAAGTGCTGGTAGCTGCGTGAAATAGTAGAAACTGTAGAAAACAAAGTGGAAAAGAAAGAAAAGAGGTAGGTGTGAAGTTTGGAGACGGGGAGGAAAACCCGGTGGGAAACCCTATAGTCAAACTGGATCTTGAAGGTGAAGAAAAGGTGTAGAAAAAGTGTGAAAAGAGGAGGAAAATAGAGGAAGAAAAAGGTGTGAGTACCCAAAGAACTTAACCCATACCTGGATTTCGGCTCAGAAAAGTGTAATATGCAAATGCAGCCTCTTGATGACTTCCGGTATGCTCCAAGGATTGGCCGAAATCAAGAAAGAAAGAGGTAGAAGAGGGGATGTGTTGCCCAAGGGTGGTAAGTGTGGAAATGATGAAAGATGGAGTGATATGGTGGAGCACCGAGATGGTGGTGGCACTCTAAAGTGGTAGCCATTGATAACCATTGGCCCGTAGAGTAAGCACTGGCCACTCGGAGTAGCCGGTAACTGGTAACTGGTAGCCAGGTACCTATAACCTGTAACCGGTAACCACCTGCTCTCGCTCCTACTCTTGTGCCAGCTCCAGCACCGATATGGTGGAGTAATATGGTGGAGCACTAAGATGGTGGTGGCACTCTGAGAAGGTGGCTAGTCTGATGTGTCGGACTGAAGAAGTCAGCAGCTGAAAAAGATGTCATAGTCACTAGGTTGCCGGCAAAGGGAGGTGGCATGTGTCCACTGAGTGTTGGAG